GATATACTTGGAGATTGAAAGGATGGAGGTTAGAATAAGGTCAAGAAAAAGAAAGAGACGCTATCATTTTACATTTAGTCACTGCAAAAAAAAATTGTGGCATCGTGCCCTGTTAATTGATTAGAATCAGTTCATAGAAAAGTCATTTGACCTTAATGACTACACAGTTAGTAAAAAAACACAGGTATCAGTTTTTAAAAACATGTTGCCAATTTGGAAGCCACTAATAGAGACAAAGGTTTTAGGGCAAAAGGATGAACGTTGCCTACTAATACAACTTTTCAACACCAAAGTCCTTTTTCTAAACTATACAATTACTAGTAATTCTTAAAAATTCTCAATACTGTTTGCTAATTTCTTTCTATTCTCCTAAAATAATGTGGGTTTTTTAAAATACCATGGTAGTTCACATTGGTTTGTTCTCTATAGATGAGCTGACAGCTTTGCTCTATCTTTTTTCCAGGAGTCCTGCCAAAGTTGTTTCTATTATCAGGCTCCTGGCCCCAGGGAATAGACTCCTTCAGTTTCCACAGTATTCACATTAATGTGTTCAACTAATACAACCAAGTTCCTGCTTATTCATTCAGTTATTTATTCAATAAACATTAATTGAGTGTGTACAATAGGCTGGTCATTGAGGGTAAAGAGATCAATTAAATAAAACCCTTATTCTCAAGGAGCTCACAGTCTAGTGAAGTAAAAAGGTCCCAAGTGCATGACACTTATGGGATACAAAGTCTTTTTACATAATAATAATATAAATAATTATAAACTTTTTTCAATTTGCAAGGTTATTTTTAATAAACTTTTATTTTCATTTAGCTTTAGATTTGCAGAAACGTTGAAAGAATATTATAGAGATTTCCTGTGTACCCTGCACCCAGTTTCCTCTGTTGTTCGTATAACTATGGTACATTTGCCACAACTGGGTAACCAACATTGGCACATTACTAGACTCCACAGTTTTTAGGGGGTTTTCTTAGTTTTTACCTACTTAGTTTTAGGGGGTTTCCTGTCTGGGATGTCATCCAGCATACTACATTGCATCTAGTCATCATGTCATCTTAGATTCCTCTGGGCTGTGACAGTTTCTCAGACTTTACTTGTTTTTGATGACCTTGACAGTTTTACAGAGTACTTTTCAGGTATTTTGTCCTTCAATTTGGGTATGTGTAATATTTTTCTCATGGTTAGACAGAGGTTATAAGTTTTGGGGAGGAAGACCGTAGAGATAAAATGCCATTCTCATTACATCATGTTAAGGGAACATGCTACTAACATGAGTTATCACTGTTGATGTTGACCTTGATCACCTGGCTGAGGTTTGTCGGGTTTCTCCATTGCAAAGTTACTCCTCTCATAATCCCCCTTCCAGACTGCACACTTTAAAATGAATTGTATTCCACAGTTACTTTAAGTGTATCCCACACTTAAAGAGAATTATGCTTCATTTCCTTGAGGCTACAATATCTACAAAAATTACTTGGAATTCTGCAAGTAATCTCCTGCAAGTAGGAGATTAAAATTATTAACTTTTGTTTGCAGGTTAACATTAATAAACCTCTTTCAAATACATTATTTTATGGTCCCTGCTCAGAGAGTTTGCAATCAGGTTAGGGAGATCAGACTAATAGAGGAATAGTTATTGACTTATGAAAACATTGTAAGAAATGTAATTTTGTACACTCATGTTCATAATGGCATTATCCACAATAGCCAAAAGATGGAAGCAACCCAAATGTCCATTGATAAATAAACGGATAAACAAAATGTGGTATATGCATACAATGGAAGATTATTCCACCTTAAAAGGGAAGGGGAGTTCCCCGGTGGCCTAGTGGTCAGGATTCCAGGCTTTCACTGGCGTGGCCCAGGTTCAATCCCTGGTCAGGGAATTGAGATCCCCCATAAGCCTTGCGGTGAGGCCAAAAAAAAAAAAAAAAAGGAAGGAAACTCTGCCACATGTTACAAGATGGATGAACGTTGAGGACACTATCCTACGTGAAATAAGCCAGTCAGTAAATGACAAATACTATATGATTCTACTTATCTGAGTTACCTAGAATAATCAAATTCATAGAGACAGAAAGTAGAAGCGTGGTTGCCAGGGGCTGGGAGGGAGGGGGAAAATGGAGAGTTGTTTAATAGGTACAGAGTTTCAGCTTTGCAAGATAAAAAGCATTCTGGAGATGGATTGTACAACATTATGAACATACTCAACACTACTGAACTGTATACTTAAAAATGGTTAAGATGTTATGTTTTATGTTACATGTATTTTTACCACAATTGAAACATTTTTGAAGATACATAATTTTGAATAGGAGGATTTTTAAATAACTTGCCCTCCAATAGGGACCCACAGTTATACTATAGATCAGAGACTGCAAAATAGCACCCTCTATGGTTCTTACAACTATGAATTGCCAACATTTAAAAATGAGGAGATTATACATAATAATCAGGATTTCTGGCTTCTTTGAAAAATTAGATGATTTGGCAACATAAGTCCAAGGGTGTCACATGGCAACAGTCAGCTGGAGCTGACCAGTACTTGCCACCTGGAGACAGGTCACTCTGCTGCAGTTTTCTGCAGCCCCACCATCTGTGCTGTTGTCACACCTTGCCCATCTCACTCATTTTCATAGCCAGCATGACTCCCTAAAAATAGTGAGTCGTTGGTGAGTTTTCTCCTGCTTAGTGAACACTAGTACAGTGGTGTCTCAATCCTCCACCACCTAGATTCCCTGTTTAACCCTATAACAGAGAGAAGTTTAAAACTCAGAACTTCGTGTATTTAAGGTACTAAAATAACAAGTCACTTGGCAGTTCCTCTGAAACCTTCATCTAAGCCCACACTTCCTCTGTGTAGCCCAAAGGAGTTGAGGAGAACCAGAACAAACTCTCTCTATCTGGGGAGAGAAGGCTCTGCCAGAATTCAGCTTTGATTTTGAAAGCATCATTTTAAGAGCACCTTGATCCAGTCTATTGTGATTCCTACCTCACTCCTGCAGCAAGCCACGGTCACTCCTGCAGTCTCAAGGAAAAGGTCTTTCAAGTGTTCAAACCATGTCTAACCAAGAGTCCAAAACTTTAGCACAAACAAAACCAGACATGGTACAGGAAGGCTGCCACTAAAGTCCCATACTACTTTTATCCCACCTGTGCAGAGCTGTGACTACCCCCATGTAAAAGGCTTGACAGGACTTCCCTGGTGGTCCAGTGGTAAAGAATCTGCCTTACAATGCAGGGGACGTGAGTTCAATCCCTGGTCAGGGAACTAAGATCCCACATGCCACGGGGCAACTAAGCCCGCGTGACACAACTACTGAGCCCGCGTGCCTCAACTAGAGCCCGGGCACCATAACTACAGAGCCCATGCACCATGGAGCCTGTGTGCCACAATTAGAGAAGAGAAAACCTACACGCCACAGAAGTCCGCGCTGCAAGGAAAGATCCCGCATGCCTCAACAAAGATCCTGCATGCCGCAACTAAGACCCAACGCAGCCTAAAATAAATAAATAATAAATAAATCTTTAAAAAATAAAATAAAAGGCTTGTCTACCTCCTAGATGCCTCTACTTCACATACAGAACTACATCCAGCTTTGGAAAAGGATTCTAGGTAACAATTCATATTTGGTACAATCTGTGCTAGATACTCAAGGTAGTCCTAAAGCCAGGCTTCCAGGCCACCAACACAGAACCACTTTGGGATGTTCACTGAAACTCTCCATTATAAGCAATGGCTTACACTTCCATTATGTGTGCTAAGGCCAGGGAAGAAGGAAGTGTGTGGTCTAGAAGGGGGCCTCATTTGCTCCCTTCTGGGATTATAGGTCAGAGCCTAAGGTACACAAAGGCTGATTCCCCTGATCACACCTATTCATACATGGCCCACCCAGGGTGTGAAAGGACACTCCCACCCTTGTGGGATGTGAAGGAGAGGCCATGCCCATATGTTATGTGGCTGTGACGGATGTTTTTTGGTTGCCTTCCTAGCATCTAGGTCCCTCTTACTGCTACCTAGGACCCCAAATTTCTCAGGTATGAAGTTTGGGTGGGATGAAGCCCATCTCCAGCTCCAGGGAGAACCAATTAGTATATCTCATACCCCTGGCCACAGTTCAAGGGTGAACATGGGATCAAGGGTGAACAAGGCTAAATTCTTGGACTTTTAATTGAGCAATCAGAAAAACACAATTTGCTTTCTCCTGAGGCTCATGAACAGGGTACATATAGATTCAGGAGGTTGGACATCATCTTGGGTCCACAGTGACCCAAGAATGGGTCACTGCCTGAGAATGAAGACAATGGTCACTGAGGTAAGCAACATAAAGGAGCCTCCATCCTGGATCATTTGGTTGTATGAGCTAACAAATCCCCCATTTGGCTTCAACCAGTTTGGGTTAGGTTTTTGATCACTGGCAACAGAAAGGACCCCAGTGAACACAACTTGAGACCCCAGTGAACACAACTTGACCCAGCTAAGTTTTGATGGTCTCTGCTCTAATCACCATCTTCAATCACCAGTATTTTCAATTCCTTTTAAGACAGATCAACCTGGCTACAACTGCATTAGAGTTTACTTGACGTGAAAAGAAATTCTCAATATTTACGTATTTTAGCATAAAATTCTATTTAGTGGCTTACATTTTACTTCTTTTTACACAAATCTTTTAAAAGGAAATTCAATCTTCTGATTTTAAGAAATGTAAATGTGGGGCAATGATGTATCCACCTAAGGATTTTCTTTTGTAATAGAAAATGTTTTTAAAGGTGAAAAATAGGGATTTTTATTATTATTAAAAGATAAAAGTAAAATTATTTTTTAAGGTACAGGCATTGGAAACAGTTTCACTATATGCCATTATTAAGCATTCTCTATCTGATTGTTAGAAATTATTCATTTCCTCAAAGAGAGAGAATAAATTGGTTGGGGATGAAATCTTGTACTATGCACTTTCTTTGCCAAGGCAAACGCTCAACATTTCAGAGCCATGAGAATGCTTCTGCATTTGAGTTTGCTGGCTCTTGGAGCTGTCTACATTTGTGTCATTGCTGTAGAAAGTCCCATGAATAGACTGGTGGCAGAGACCTTGACACTGCTCTCCACTCATCAAACTCTGCTGATAGGTGACGGGGTAATTTTCTTTTTGATTCCTACAGTCTTTAAAATATATAGGTAATCATTTGTGGTGGCTAATTTTTAAAGATCTGTCATTAATCATGAAATTATGAGAGTGTTAGTACTATATAATTGATAACCATACTACTAACAAGAATTTTACTAAAAGTTATGAATGCTAGAGTGCTTTAAACATGAATGTATTTTCTTTCCTTTTCAGAACTTGATGATTTTCTAAAAGTTATGAATGCTAGAGTGCTTTAAACATGAATGTATTTTCTTTCCTTTTCAGAATTTGATGATTCCTACTCCCGAACATACAAATGTAAGTTAAATCAAGATTTGATAAATGATTGAGTGAATAAGTAAATTTCATATTTTAAGCTATAAAGCATTAGTTATCACTGGAATGATTTAATTTTCTCCATTTTGTTTTTGTGTGTGTGGATGCAAATGTATGTACTTATAAATATTAGGAATAACTTTACAAGTAGAATTCATTAAACAAGTGGATCAGGCCCTTTGGTGATGTTGTCAGTTCTCCATCTCAAAGAGCCTCATGTAAGGCATTCTTTTTTTTTTTTTTAGGTATTTAATGTCTTTTCCTTTGCTATATGCTTTTTAAAATTTATTTATCTTTTAAATTGAAGTATAGGTGATTTACAATGTTGTGTTAGTTTCAGCTATACAGCAAAGTGATTCAGTTTTATATATATATTATTTTTCAGATTCTTTTCCCATATAGATTATTATAAAATATTGAGTAGAGTTCCCTGTGCTATACAGTAGGTCCTTGTTGTTTATCTAGTTTATATATAGTAGTGTGTATATGCTACTCTCAAATTCCTAATTTATCCCCCCCGCCACCTTTCCCCTTTGGTAACCATAAGTTTGTTTTCTATGTCTGTGAGTCTGTTTCTGCTTTGGAAATTAGTTCCTTTGTATCATTTTTTAAGATTCCACATATAAGTGATATCATATGGTATTTGTCTTTCTCTTTCTGACTTCCCTTAGTATGATAATTCTAGGTCCATCCATGTTGCTGCAAATGGCATTATTTCATTTTTTTATGGCTGAGTAGTATTCCATTGTATATATGTACCACATCTTCTTTATCTATTCATTTGTCGATGGACATTTTGGTTACTTCCATGTCTTGGCTATTGTAAATAGTGCTTCTTTCCAGAAGAATTCCATACTGGGTGAGAGGGGCCTCCTAGTCTCCATTCAACTCTATCTATGGCTTTCCTCTCACTCTCATGTCTTTCTGAAAGTTTAGCAAGTTAGGTTTATATTTTTAAAATTATGGTCAGTAGACATTAAAATATACAATGAATGCCCTATATTAATATAGGTGTCATTTCCACATATTTAAATTATTATGACCATATAATGGAATTGTATACATTTGGAGTATGTCATGGTTGTATTAAAATGTAAAATATATGATTTCATTAGTCTAAAGAGAATAAAATTACCAGCTAGAACTACAAAAGGAAACTCATGGGAGCTCAATCAGTATTGTAGTTACATTATACTTCCTAAACATTTTAATTTCGGTTAAGGAGTTAATTTATATCATTTGTAAAACTCCTCAGTAGTTATATAAACTTTATCTACTTTTGGAAATTATAGCTCAGTGTGAAGTGGTTTGCCACTTGGAAAAGGAACAAGTAAAATATTCTTTGGAGAAGAGAACTCATGTAAACAACACAACTAACTTCTGGAACTAAATTTTTATACCTTGTTTTGATTATTTATAGTTTTTAAATCTTCCTCATTTAGCACGAGCTATGCATTAAAGAAGTCTTTCAGGGAATAGACACACTGAAGAATCAAACTGCACAAGGGGATGCTGTGGAAAAACTATTCCAAAACTTGTTTTTAATAAAAGAATACATAATAGACCTCCAAAGAGTAAGTTAAAAACATTTAGTGGAAACTTAAGTATATTTGTCTGGCTCTGCCTATGTTTACAAGAATTGACAGTTTCCTACAATACTTACTGTCTACTCTTTTCACAGAAGAAGTGTGGAGGAGAAAGATGGAGAGTAAAACAATTCCTAGACTACCTGCAAACTTTTCTTAAGGTGATAAACACCGAGTGGACAACGGAAAGTTGAGACCAACCTGTCTCACTGTAGCGAAAGATTCTGGAGGAGAAGAAGGATGTTTTACTGCAACAAGGATGAGGGCCAGCCAAGGGTGGGGCCTTAATATTCAGTGTAATGAAACTTCAGAGGCAAAGTAAATATTTCAGGCATACTGCTACCTCACACAGGCAGAAAGTATAAAAACAAAATATTTGAGCTGTATTTCAGATATCAGAATCATTGAAGTATTTTCCATCAGTTTGCTCTAAGCAAAATAGATATATACTTTTATCTATCTTATTTAACATAACATTCTGTAAAATGTCTGTTAACTTAATATTATTTATGAAATAATTGAGAACTTGGAAAATTAATATTTATTTCACCTTAGGCTATGTTCCAATAAAACAAAAATAGACAACTCTGGTTCAATTTGTTGCTGGCCTTTGTCTGACTTCTGAAGTGAGCACAGTCTGTGTGAGAACACACCAGGTTTGGAGAGCATTCCCATCTTCCAGGTGGCAGAAGTCGCAGGTTGCTAGGCATACCATGGGTGGATGAGATCTAGCAGGACTTAGTGGAGAAGGGGGTAGCAGAGATATGGGCAGGGGCTGGAGCCTGGTTTCCTCTCCATGGTATACCCAGAGCCTAGGTTGGTGCAGGTAAAATGGGAGGTGGTGAATGAATGATTATAAGGGCCTTCCAGAACTGGCCAGAGAATTAAAATGAGTTTCACGGCTTCCCCTGGGGAGGAGGGCAGTGTAGGAATCTGTATCTAGGTCTCTTCCCAGCCTATGAGAAGAATGTGGCAGGCCAATCCCACTGCCAGTTTGGGGAAGAAACGCTCCTTGTGGAGCCCAGAGCACTGTGACCTGGGGGTTCTTCACCTCACCTGACTTTGTGCCATAACAATGGTCAGAGAAGCACTGGTAGGCAGTTATATTGGGGAGGCTGGGCTCTAGAGGTGCCCACCATCTGTATTCCCAGGGGCAGAGCAGCATTAGGCAGAACAACACTCCAATCTGCCTGTTTATGACTATCAGTACCATAATTGGAAGTTCCTCCGCTTGAGGAAATTTCTTAAGGATTCAGAAAACACGTTCTTTAAGATATATTTTAAAACTGAGACCTGGAGGAGAGGCCCAGTAACAATATTCAGCTATGCCATTAATTCCTTCCTTCGCTTACTGATCACAGGCCCTACTGCATGCTGGGAGACAGTTGTGGCCATGTGCTACAGGGCCTTACAGATGGTGCCATTACCCTGGGCATTATCTGCATAGATTGCACGTGTTGCGCTTGACTGCTTGTGTGAAGCAACTGCTCCCCTACTGTTTCTGGGTGTGGGAGAGGGGCTAGGGCAGTCAGACACAGATTCCCAGGTGGGAGAATGCAAGTCCTTTTGTGCAAGAAGACATATTTCCCTTCCAGCACAAACACAGGCATGGTAGTCAGCACTCTGCTGTGGCTTAGGCTCCCAACTTGTGCACCCACCAAGCCCCAAGAGCTGGGGCTGAGATGATGAAGAGGTGTCAGCACAGTACTCCACTGACTGTTCTCGAAACTGACAGCAAACAGGAAACTCAATTTGAGAAGAGACTGAATGTCAATTTAATTCCATTCAGCAAATATTTATTGAGCTCCCATATGTTCCAGGACTGTTCTAGGGACTAAGATTCATCAGTGAATAAAAAAGACAAAATTCCCTGCCCTTGTAAACTTATATTCTCTCTCAAAAAAGGTCATTTTCTAGCCAAGATACGGAAGCAACTTAAGTGTCCATCAACAGATGAATGGATAAAGAAGATGTGGTGTATATATTGATATATATGTACAATGGAATACTACTCAGCCATAAAAAAGAATGAAATTTTGCCATTTGTAACATGGATGGACCTGGAGGGTATTAGGCTTAGTGAAATAAGTCAGACAGAGAAAGACAAATACTGTATGTTATCACTTATATGTGGAATCTAAAAAGTTAAACAAACAAGTGAATGTAACAAAAAAGAAACAGACTCACAGATATAGAGAACAAACAGTGGGGAGGGGAAGGGGGGCAATATGGGGATAGGGGATTAAGAGGCACAAACTACTATGTATAAAATAAATAAGCTACAAGGATATATTGTACAGCACAGGGAAAACAGTCAATATTTTATAATTACTATAAATGGAGTATAATCTATTATACTCCATAATAGAATTTTGAAAAATTTGGAATCACTATGTTGTACACCTGAAATTAATACTGTAAATCAACTATAACTTCATTAAAATAAAAGTAAAATTAATTTGGCAGGAAAAAAAAAGTCATTTTCCCACTTTTTTATCAAGGTCCAATATAGTTATTGTGGATTTAAGGCTGGAATATCCTAAAGTCCCACTAATGAACTCTTAACAATCTACCATCTCAGAGAAGCCGAACGCAAACAGGGCTGTATGAAACTAACCAAAATGGGACTTCTTAGACCCACCAACGATTTTTAAGGCAGAAACAATGATTCTCCAGCTGATTCTACTTTCCCTGTAAAAGCAATGCCAACCAGATGGTCCCTGGACAGAAAGAGTGGGCTTCTTAAAAGTTATATCAACTGCTCCCTCACCTAGCCTGACTAATGTGGGGCTCCAGAACCTAGGGCATCAAAGGAGAGGGATTTGGCAGGCTCCAGGTTACAGGAAAGCTTTCATGAGTCTTGCTTTTCCTCTCAAAGCTTATCCCAATAAAAGAGCATCTATTTGCGCTCTGTCTTAGTGATGTCGCTGTTATTGCCCAGTGGGAGGAGCCAGAGTGAAACATTAGGCTGGGTTTTGGAGGGCCACAGAGGAACCTTTCCAGAGAACACCTCAACACAATGCATCTAAAACCAAAGTCCCTCTTTGTAATCCATCCTCATCCCCTCAAACCTGCTGCTGCTGGTCCTCCTTGTCCTTCTTTCTCCTCTTCCTTTGAGGTTCCCTATTTGGCTAACATAACCATGACTACCTTCCCATCACCTTTCTGGAAGACTCCCTGACTTTTACCCTCTGTGCCCTTCCATCCACCATTCAGCCTCTGAAATGTCTCTCCAATTCCCCCTCTCCATCCCCGCTGCCTCAGTTGAGGCCCTTGCCTCTCACCTAGACTCAAGCTATCACCAGCTCCCTACTTTAGGCTCTCCTCATGACTGTCAAGTCAGGGCTTTTGATAAAATACACTCACGGCCATATGTCACTTCTGGGCATAAAAACCTCTGGCTCTCAGGTCCATCTCCTTCACAGGTCATACCTTTGTCCCCTCCAAGCCCTGCCATTCAGAAATACGGGCATCTCTCACTAAACATTGCTGGCAAGAAAATGCTAACCAGGAGCCTCATTCTCATTATTTAAATGGGAAAATTTTTCATGCATTACATCTCAATCCAAAATCCTCAACCAATTCTCCAAGCATAAAACACAAAACACAGTAAAATTCCTGTGTATAAGCAACAAGCTAACATGTTAGGTTGTAAAATATTTTAAAATTTATATTTCTGTATTTCTTTATTTAATAAATTGTGGTAAAATAAGGATGTAAAATATTTAAAACTGTACTTCCTGATCACTAAACCATTAATATGGCCTCTTTATCCATATAACATGCTACATGTCCCTTTAGTTGACATTCAGAGCCTTTCCAATTGTCTTCTGTGAACTTTGATATGCTACCAATATATTTGGAATAAACCTAAAGGCTTTCTCTGTTGAGCTCCCTCCCTCATCACTTTGTTTAAAAATGCATTGAGTTTGGGGGACATATATCTAATATTTTCCCTATGTAAGTATTGGTAGAAAAGGATTGTATTGAAAGGCATATATGTTCTTTTTTTTTTCTTTTTCTATTAGTTCTTTATTACAGATCTTTTTTAAAAAATATTTATTTATTTATTTATTTTGGCTGTGTTGGGTCTTAGTTGCGGCACGTGGGATCTTTCCCTGTGTTGCGCGGGCTTCTCTCTAGTTTTGGCATGCAAGCTCCAGAGCATGTGGACTCTGTAGCTGTGGCCCGCAGGCTCTCTAGTTGTGGTGTGTGGGCTCAGTAGTTGCCCCGTGGCATGTGGGATCTTAGTTCTCCGACCTGGGATCAAACCTGAGTCCCCTGCCTTGGAAGGCAGATTCTTAACCACTGGACCACCAGGGAAGTCCTGAAAGGCCTATATGTTCTATGAAGAAATGTTCTACGTGGAAAACTGGGGAGAAGTTCTGTAGGGTATGCTAGCTCTTATTCTTCCCAGAATACCCAGGAGTTTTTACACCTCTGTGCCTTTGCCCACACTGTCTCAGTACATCTGTCTTTTCCTACGTGGGGAACATGCAATTGCCCTTTGGATGTTTTCATCCATCCCTCTATCTTGGCTCTCACAGTCTGGCTCCAATACTACCTCCTCTTTGATTCTCTCCCTGGCTATTACTCCCAGCAGTATTAGGTGTCCTGCATTACTTTGGACATTCCTCTGTCAGAGCTCTTGTTTTTATATTGTAATATTTTCAGATCCACCTTATACAACTCTGAATATATATCAGTCAGAATCATCTAGATGATGCTATAGTAATAAATCACCTCTGAATCCCAGCAGAAGGACACAACAAAAGTTTCTTAATCACACTATGGGTGTGGTCTGGGCAGCCCTGCAGAGCAGCTGTCCTCCACGTGTTGGCTCAGTATTCCAGGATGCTTCCATCCTATGGTACTGCCATATCAGTAATTGCTGTTGCCATTCCCTTGGAGAATCACACCTCAGTTCTTAAAAACTTCCACTTAAATCACATTGGTTAGATCAAGTCACAGTGCCATGAGTAACTTTGAGGGGTGGGGGGAAATACAGTTCTCTCATGTGCTCAGAAAGACAGGAGAATCAGACATATTAAAGAGTAACACTAATATCTAACACAATAGACCCTCAACAGATGTTCGCAATGTTCCAATGTTTTGTCAAGGGAGGGAACCGAACTACCGTCTACTGACCGTTTACTGTGGTTAGGACTTCCTTAGACATTTTATATCACTATCTCAATTAATTCTCATCACAAGCCAATGTGAGATAAAATTATTCTTTTTTTATGATATGGAATCAAAGGCTCAGAGAGTTTAAATTATTGGCCAAGGTTACACAGCTAATAAGTGATACAGCTGGGATTCAAACCCTAGTATGTCTCATTCCAACCCTCCCATAATTTCTTTTTTTTTTTTCTCCCTTAATTTCTGAGGAAGTCATATTCTCTTGGCCTTAAGAAATCAGTGAAGTAGAAAAGAAGGCTGATCAACTTATTTACTCCTTTAAAAGCCCTGTCTCTAAGTTCAGTCACATTCTGAGGTACCAGGCATTAGGGCTTCAACATACAAATTTTGGAGAATACAATTCAGTCCATAATACACATTAAAAAGAAACATTTTCCTCTAGCATCTG